ATTATGACCTGAAGCAGGTAACATAACTTGTCAGCCTCAAATTCCTATGTGTAGGCCAGGCGTGGTGGCTCAAGCCTGCCTGTAATCCTAGCACTCTGGGAGGCCGAGGCAGGAGGATTGCTCAAAGTCGGGAGTTTGAGACCAGCCTGAGCAAGAGTGATACCCCAAGTCTACTAAAAATAGAAATAAATTAATTGGCCGACTAAAAATATATAGAAAAAATTAGCCCGGCATCTTGGCGCATGCCTGTAGTGCCAGCTAGGCAGGAGGATCGCCTGAGCCGAGGAGTTCGAGGTTGCTGTGAGCCAGGCTGACGCCATGCCACTCTAGCCTGGGCAACAGAGTGAAACTCTTGTCTCATAAAAAAAAAAATTCCTATGTGTAATTTGTGAATAATGTCTTCTGGCAAAGTTAGGTTGTGTTTGTGGTGTTTAGTCTTGTAATACAGTCTAGGTAACAGCTTGACACTATCATTTAATCCTCACAACAACTGTACTGTGGTGTAAATTGTTGGTTAATATGTAGCTGCCTTCGAAAAACCTCTGAAATTTGTGCTTTATATATAGTAAATATTTCTGGAAAGCTTATTGAATTATGTGGTAGTAGCAGTGATGATTGCAAGATTGTGAAATAGCATTGATTTATTTAAGTGCTGTATAAATTTTGAGTTTTAATCCTAGGCTTGTTGCTAATTTTCCTTGATTTGGGGCAAGCCAACTGAGTTAATTAATTACTTTATTTAAAATTATAGTTGAAGCCGGGCGAGGTGGCTCACGCCTGTAATCCTAGCACTCTGTGAGGCTGAGGCGGCGGATTGCTCGAGGTCAGGAGTTCGAAACCAGCCTGAGCAAGAGCGAGACCCCGTCTCTACTATAAATAGAAAGAAATTAATTGATATATATAACTAATATATATATAAAATTAGCCGGGCATGGTGGCGCATGCCTGTAGTCCCAGCTACTCGGGAGGCTGAGGCAGTAGGATTGCATGAGCCCAGGAGATTGAGGTTGCTGTGAGCTAGGCTGACGCCACGGCACTCACTCTAGCCTGGTCAACACGCGAGACTCTGTCTCAAAAAAAAAAAATAATAAAATAAAATTATAGTTGAAAAAGTATACTTTTTGTTTGGGCAAACTTTTAAAACAAGAATGAAGATTGCAGTATGTTCAAATATACATTTATATGCAAGATTTAAAGGACTACAACTGATGAAATGCAAATAGGCACTTTATATTTACTCCTAAAGATTTTTTTGGTAATATAAAAGTAAATGCAGACATGTTTAAACATCACATATTTGTATTTACTGTCTTGTCTGTTCCATTGTCAGACCTGTTAAACCAATCTTTGGTTTATAGTATCTCTATTTTTAAATGACTGACTCTAAACCAAAGACAGAAGAGTACTTTACATGAATATCACTAGGGGGTAGGATATGAACTGCATGCATAAAGCCACACTTCAGATGTGAGGAGTTAAATTCTATTGAGTTTATGTATTATTAAGGGAAGAGAAAAGGATTTTCTTGTCAGGTTAGAAAAGTCAGGAGTAAAGCAGGTTATCTGTAGCACATAGTTGGCCAGTATTTCATACTACTTACTATAAAACAGGTAAGGTGACCATACCTCTTAGTTTGCCCTGGATGGTCATAGCATAGACCTACTTTCTGGGACAGATGTCTTAACTCAGTTTCATCCTCAGAAATGCCCTAGTTTATATGATAACTTTTTTCTTTTCTTTTTTACCCTTTTTTCTGACCAGGTATATGACAACTTTTAATTTTTGTTTCTTTAAAGAAACAAAGCTCTGGCCGGCAGTGCGGTGGCTCACGCCTGTAATCCTAGCACTCTGGGAGGCCAAGGCAGGCGGATTGCTCGAGGTCAGGAGTTCAAAACCAGCCTGAGCAAGAGCGAGACCCTATCTCTACTATAAATAGAAAGAAATTAATTGGCCAACTAATATATATAGAGAAAAAATTAGCCAGGCATGGTGGCACATGCCTGTAGTCCCAGCTACTCGGGAGGCTGAGGCAGTAGGATTGCATGAGCCCAGGAGATTGAGGTTGCTGTGAGCTAGGCTGACGCCATGGCTCTCACTCTAGCCTGGGCAACAAAGCGAGCAAAGCAAGACTCTGTCTCAAAAAAGAAAAAAAGAAAGAAACAAAGCTTAAGCAGATTTAATTTTTCAGAGGAGATCAGAAGTTCATTGTGTGCTTATTAGCAAGAGGTGTTTTTTTTTTTTTCCATATCATTAACAAAGCAACACAGCACATATAAGTTGGCACTAAAATATTTATTATTAAATTGGCTATGGGAAATGTAAATTATAGGACAAGAAAGTTGCAGTTGAGCAAGGTAAAGAAAACAAGATTATTCTGGCCTTTTGAGAAGAGTATCTGAAAATGTAGACTCTGAGGCCAGGCTTCACAGGTCCAAATACCTGGTCTGGGTGGGCCACTTTTTAGTTGTGTGACCTTGGGCAAGTTGTTTAACCTTTCTTTTAGTTTTCTTACCTGTAATTTGAGGATAATACTAATAAATGAGACTAATATTAATGTCTGTCTTGTAGGGTTAAGAGAATTGGCAGTTAAGGTAAAACACTCAGAAGGGTATATGGTACATAAGCACTAACTATATCGATGTGAACTGTGAGAGGTAATTGTCACCTCTTTTTTCTGGTCATTTACATTTAAAAGTAACAAAGGGTTTACTGACTTGTACATACTAGGAATAAAAAGACACCCTTTCCTAAAAAAATTATATTGATATTTGAAGTTCGAGGTATGTTTTAAGTTCATTGGTGTAATTAGCCATTGGCTTTATCAGCTGACCAATTGAAGTATGGCTCAGTATTTTGAGGACTATTTAAATTATTTAAATGCTAAATGTTAGATCCTTTAATAGAGTTCTTTTTTTTTTTTTTTTTTTTTGAGACAGAGTCTCGCTTGTTGCCCAGGCTATAGTGAGTGCCATGGCGTCAGCTTAGCTCACAGCAACCTCAAACTCCTGGGCTCAAGTAATCCTTCTGCCTCAGCCTCCCAAGTAGCTGGGACTACAGGCATGTGCCACCATGCCCGGCTAATTTTTTTTTATATATATATATATATTAGTTGGCCAATTAATTTCTTTCTATTTATAGTAGAGACGGGGTCTCACTCGTGCTCAGGCTGGTTTCGAACTCCTGACCTCGAGCAATCCGCCCGCCTCGGCCTCCCAGAGTGCTAGGATTACAGGCGTGAGCCACCGCGCCCGGCCCACCTTTAATAGAGTTCTTAATCTTTAATGTGGGGAATGTATGAGTCTCATGTAGAACTTTCTAGGGAGAAGTCTGTAACTTTGTATTTTCAGAATAGTCCGTGACCTCCCCAAAAGGTTAAATGCCACTAATTTATGGAGGCCTCAGTTTTTTGATAAAGGACAGGTGCCATCTGACTGAGGCAGTGGGAATTTGGGCATATAAACCTGTCTTTCCTCTAGTACTAGAGCAGTAACAGCTTTATTGGTGAATAAACTTTTCTTCCACAGTACGGGATGAGTGAATTCTGATTCTTGACAACCTGGAGAGCTTGAGGGAAATGAATGCCCTAGAATGTGATCTGATCCAGTTACCTTGCTATTCACAATGTGATCCTCAGACTATCCCCAAGCTCCTTTAGTGCAGGGGCTTCTTAGAATACAAACTCTATGGCCCTACCCCTGAATTACTGATTCAGAGGTCTTCATTTCATTTTATCAAAATCTCTAGGTGAGGCCAGGCGCGGGTGGCTCACACCTGTAATCCTAGCACTCTGGGAGGCTGAGGCGGGCGGATTGCTGGAGGTCAGGAGTTCGAAACCAGCCTGAGCAAGAGCAAGACCCTGTCTCTACTATAAATAGAAAGAAATTAATCGGCCAACTAATATATATAGAAAAATTAGCCGGGCATGGTGGCGCATGTCTGTAGTCCCAGCTACTTGGGAGGCTGAGGCAGTAGGATTGCTTGAGCCCATGAGTTTGAGGTTGCTGTGAGTAGGCTGATGCCATGGCACTCACTCTAGCCTGGGCAACAAAAGCGAGACTCTGTCTCAAAAAAAAAAAAAAAATCTCTAGGTGATTATTAGGCACATTAAGGTTTGAGAAACACTAACATAGCATATATTCATTCATTGATTTATTCAACAAATTTTGTTGATGGCCTCCTATGTGCTAATCACTGTTCAAAATGCTAGAAAACAGTAAACCATAGACAAAGCCACTGCCATTGTAGAGTTTGCAGACAAAATAATTTCAGATTAGGATAAGTCCTTTGTGATGGAAGGTGAATTTTATTACATACATTATCATGAATATTATCTTTTTTCTCTTTAATTGAAAATTAGATGTACTTTGGCCCTAGATAGACATCTTTGAAGATCTGAATTGACTTCTGTCCTGGGGTGGCTGTTTTCTGTATTATTCATTTCTTCTGGATCCTTAGCCACTGTAGGAAAAACTGGGGCCAGGGACCATTTGGCTTAGAGAGGAGATAATAGTATTCCTTATGTAGTATATAACTTAGTTACCTCTAAGGCAAATGTAGTTTATTGGATTAGAGCATGCACTCTCCAAACTACCTAGGTTTAAATCCTTGGCTTTGTCTTATTAGCTGTGCAATCTTGGGTAGGTTACTTTACCTTGAAGTAAAGTTAACTTTTTCCTTAAGTGTAAAATGTGGATGATGATAGTATTTAACTGAGGTTATTATGAATGTGAATTGTGTTCCATAAATGTTATTCTATCTCAGAAAGAGTGAAGAATTCCCACTTTAATTTTCATTTTTAATTTTCATAAAATACTCCTTAGCATCTGGTAGGATTCTGAAGGATGAAAGGATAGGTTGGGGTTTTTTCGTTTGTTTTTTTATTACTTGTAATTTAGTAGCCCTCTCAATATTGGAGATGTGTAAAAATTGAACCTGGATGATTTATCTGCCATGGGGCAAATAAATTTAATCAATTTATACATTTTATTTCTGTTTTACAGCATTTATGGGGTTAAGTGGCATGGGATTTCTGTTTCTGATAGTAAATAGGTAAGTATAACAAAAGGTTATGTATGTCCAAAGAGGTGGTTTTGCCATGTTTATGGTGACTTTTTCCTGATTCTTGGTTCTGTTACCTTAGAACTGTTGTTTCTTAGGACTGGAAGATACCATTTTGACAAGAATTTTTTTATTTTTTTAAATTTATTTTTTGACAAGAATTTGATGTGTCCCTTTTTTCCTTTCTATTATTTCTCTCTAGATAGAATTTGGCATTAAATGGGCTAATAATCAGGACTTCTTTTGGCTTATTTGGGGATTACATATATTGCTTAGCAGTAGGGATGGTGTTTGATGTGTTAGTTTTACAGATAGTTTGGGTGTTTTTGTTGAGTATCTGTGTGTTTCCATTATCATGTGTATGTTGGCAAATAGTTCTAGCATGCACTTGGACAATTTATATCCTTTAATAGATACTTTATGCAACCCTGTAACCTCAAGGGCTTCTAATACTGTGGAAGAGATAAGGATTTTAATGGAGGTCTTCGTTAAACCTTAAAAGATGAATAAAACTTGGTTATCTAAAATTTAAATGAAAAATAGATTTGTTCTAGTTAAACTGACATAGAGTCTGTCAGCCATCAGTTAGCTCATTAGCTTACAAAGAGACATCACTTTGGAGATTCTAAGGATTTTAGGAGTTCTATGCCAGGTAATGGGGTGGAAGGCCAAATATATATTTTATAATATCACAGATAGTAACTTGCCTTATTTTTTTCCCCAAGTTTTTGTGAACATTTTCCATGTTTTCTACAATTTTATTTTTGTTTGTTTTTTCCATTTTTCAAAACTTTATTTTGAAATAGTCATGTGTCACTTAACGATGGGGATCCATTCCAAGGAATGTGTAGTTAGGTGCTTTCATTGTGTGAACATCAGAGTATACACCTAGGCTATATTGCATAGCCATAATTATCTTATGAAACCACCATTGTATTTGAAGTTTGTGTTTGACAAAAGCATCAGTATATGCAGTGTGCATGGCTGTAATTATAGATTCACCAGAAGTTGCAAAACCATGTGTAGGATGGTCCTCTGTACTCTTTGCCCAGTTTCCCCTGTAGTAGCAGCACCTTGCATAACTATAGTGTGATGTAAAGAAGAGCAAATAGACATTGTTACAGTCCACAGAACTTACTCAGATTTCATCAGTTTTAAATACAATCTGGTTTTAATGTTCTATTATATGAATGAACTACAGTTGTTGAAAAAAATACAGTTGGATGTTTCTAATTTTTCACTATTATAAAATTAGTGTGGCAAACATCTTTGTACTTACAAGTTTTTCTGTATCTATTTATTTTGGGAAAATCTGACTAGTGGAATTTCTAGACTGAAGAAAGTATATATTTAAGGTTTTTGAAGAACATTGCCAACTCTTCAGAGGAGTTATATAAATTATAGTAGTGAACTGATTGTTTCTATTTACACTTGTTAAAATGGTATTAAGTCTGGGCTGTTCAATAGGTAAAAATGATATTTTATAATTAACTATTCCTGCCTGTCCTTTTTATTTTTCCTGTTTGGCACATATCTTAGTAATTTGTAATCTGTTGTTAACGGGTTGGTATTGTAACCTTCCTGGCCTTTTCTGTTTCATATACCTGTATATTTATATATATAAATTTTATGTGTTTATTAACATATGGTAAAATAAAATGCTTACTGCTTTGCAACTTGATTTTTTTTCACTGAACAATATGCCTTGGAATACTTTCCATATTAGTGTGTATAGGCCTATCTGTTTTTTAGGGTTGTTTTTGTTTTTTAACTATTTCATAGCACTCTACATTAAGAGGTATACCACATTTTATTTTACGATTTACATATAAATAGACATTTAGATGGTTTTCAGTTTTTACTTATGGGATCAATGCTGCAATATACAACCTTGTGTATGACTTCTTGTGTATGTCAATGGCTTTTAGAGTATATACTTTTTCTTTTTGAGACAGAGTTTCACTCTGTTGCCCTTGCTTTTTCACTCATGGAAAAAAGTTTAGATAGCCAAAGATGTTAAATGTACACAATACCTTTTATTTTATTTTATTTATTTATTTATTTATTTATTTATTTATTTATTTATTTTTTGAGACAGAGTTTCACTTTGTTGCCTAGGCTAGAGTGAGTGCCGTGGCATCAACCTAGCTCACAGCAACCTCAATCTCCTGGGCTCAAGCAATCCTACTGCCTCAGCCTCCCAAGTAGCTGGGACTACAGGCATGTGCCACCATGCCCGGCTAATTTTTTGTATATATTAGTTGGCCAATTAATTTCTTTATATTTATAGTAGAGACAGGGTCTGGCTCTTGCTCAGGCTGGTTTCAAACTCCTGGCCTTGAGTGATACATCTGCCTCGGCCTCCCAGAGTGCTAGGATTATAGGCGTGAGCCACCACGCCCAGCCTAGAGTATATACTCTTAACTAGGATGGTGAAAAATACAAGTATACCCAGGACTACTGCTTGTTTATGTGCCATAGACCTTACATGCTGATTATTCTTGACACCATTGATTAGCAAGGACCACGTCAGATTTATGAGTGTCATGCTGCTGAAAGGCACATAATTAATTTCATTGTTATTATTAAATATTTAATGAAATAGTGTAGTCAGTCAATAAAAGGTAAGTTTTTGAGCATAATCTCCCAATATTTGAATATTTATGTATAAATTAATTATATTTGACATAGTTTTTTTTATGTTAAATATTAGCCTTAATCTCTTACAATGAATATTTGGGGTCTTCCCCAAGTTTTGATTTTGCAAAATGCCCATATTATGAGTCGGTGCTCTCTAGTGTATGTACTAGAGAAAACTCAAATTTCTAGGTTCTCTTTTATCTAGATGGATGCTGACATGTGTCCTAAGCACCACTAGTCAGACACACTCACAGATGACTTTGAAAATGTCCAATGTAAGGAAGTGAGCGTTCTATTCATAACTTTAATTTTGCAGTTGGCAATGGCAATAGGGATGGTCAGCTTTAAGTGAAGATAATAAGTTGCAGATTTAGTTCCTGATGGAGATGTGTGTGGCTTTGGTGTTGGCAGTAGTCTTGTTTATAATGGATTTGAATCTTGTCATTTCGTATCCAGTGGTGGCAGGTACAGTAGTTTCCTCATTAGGCCACTTCTGCAATATTATCTTAGGTGATATTATCTTTGCATCTGCTTTTTCAGCTCTCCCAGTGGCAGTGACACTATCCTTTAGTAAAATTAATTACCTTTCTGCTTAATTTAGCCAGAGTAGATTTGAGTTCTGATTAAAAACTTTGATAACATGCTGTTGGTATAGCAGGCACTGTTTGTGTGTCTATATAGTGGCAAATATAAAGATGTCTTGCTTTCTAAAATTGCTATTTTTAAATAGGTACCTGTCTTGGTTGGTCTGTATGAAAACTAGTTGGTTTCCTCCCTGAGCTAATTATGATATGAGGAAGTTGTGAATTAACATCTCTAAGCCAGGATGTTGCTACAGTTGTTCATGGTGCTACTTCAAAGATGCTTTTGCTCTTCTGAGAGATTTAGCATTTTGTTGTTGGTTTTGCTGTTATTGTAAAAGCTGTTAGCAGCCTTGAAACCAAAAGCCAAGAAGCAGTACATAGTGAAAAACTTCCATTTTAAACTGAGAAAAAGGAAGATATCATTTACTCTGTTTGATCTTTTAGGCCATCAGAATGGTAAATATAGTTGCCAGACATAAAGAAGAGAAAGACCTAGTCTCTGCTTTTCTTGAGCCATCTTCCTAAATGCAAAGAACACATACTTAAACTATTGTGGTGGTAACAAAATAGAGAACAAATAACGAGAGAGAAAAGAAGCATTGACTAAAACAAATAAAATTGGGTACACAAGGTATATGGAAATTGTTAGGAGTTTCGATAAAGTATAGGCATTATATTTTTAAAGATGAAGAAACTGAAGATGATTACATAATTATTGGGTGACAGATTAAAGTTAATTTTTTTTCTGTTATACCATATTGTGTCTCAATTGTTGGAATATCTCTAATTTAACTTTAAGACAAAATATTAGTACTTCTTTTTCTAGAATTAGATATTCTGGAAAACACCTAGAAATGTTGTTTAAAATACATTAAAATGGTTTTTTTTTGTTTTTAACTTACATGCATTATACTTAAAAAAAATTTTTTTTTTAAAGCAGAGCTTTAATCTGTTAAGAAAGCAAATGAAATCTTTAGACCAAAAACAGTCAGAAAGTACTATTGAAAGAGAGAAACTGGTGATAAAACCTGGGCTTCCCTTAGCATCTATTGATACTTGCTGGCCCAGAGGTTTAATGGGCAGTGCTTAGAGGCAGGATGCAAGTTAAAGTAGGAAAAACAAGCTTTCCCAGAGAAAAGGAAACATGACAGTTTTAGCTATGGCTCTTGGTTGATCTTCTCTGATAATTTTAAGCACAAATCCTTTTTGATGCCAGAGTAGAGCTAAAATTTACATTATCTGTTGTTGTGTTGAAATGACAGTTGAACCTTTTAAAGTGATTCCGGTTTGATAGTCTTTCTAGGCAGATATCTACCACATTTTTTTCACTCTATTCTCTTTAAGAGCCCATTTAAACATATTCCATAAAATTCCCACAAAGTTCCAAGGAAAATAGGCCTATAATTTAAAATCATAAAGCATATAAGTCAGTGTGATTTAGCAGAAACAACAAATCACAAAATCAAGCCCTCAATGACTACAAATAGTGGGATTATCAGATACAAACTATAAAATTGTAATGTTTTAACATGCTTAAGGGGAAAAGGAAGACACTGAAAGGATGATAAGGAAACAAAAAATTTGATCAGACAGATTTGAAAAAAGAACCAAAATGAACTTTAAGAAATGAAAACTATAAAAAGGGAGCATGAAAATTTACTAGAGAAGTTGAACAGCAACTTAGAAACAGCTTGAGAGAATTGATGAACTGGAAGAAAGATCATAAGAAATTGCTCAGAATACAACTACAGAGACAAGTGAAATATGGTAAAGAAAGGTTGATATGTGGAATATAGGATGAGAAAGCATGATACATATTTTATTGGAGTTTCAGAAGGAAGTAATAGAACAGGTCATGGAGGGGCAATATTTGAAGGATAACAGCTGAGAATTTTATAGAATTGATGAAAGACCTATTAGATTTCAGGGAGCTCAGTGGATCCCAAGTGCAATAAATAAAAAAGAATTTCATGCTTTGACTTAATGATTGCAAAATACCATTGAAAAAGATTAAGCAGGCAGAGAGAAAAGAGATTAAAAATGGCAGTCTGATGGCCAATTTCTTCTTAGAAATAGTACAAAACAGAGCAGTGAATATCTTTAATGTGCTTGAAAGATAATATGTGCCTATTGAGAATTCTGTATATAGCAAGGATGGAGGATAAAAATAAAAGTATTTTCAAAGAAACCACAACTTGAGAGAATTTATTAAAAACTTTGAATGATGTCGTTAGAGCAGAAGGAAAACTATTTCAGAAATGTCTGGAATACAAGAAAGTGATGATCAAAGAAAATGGTCAACGTTTATGTAAATTTAAATATTTAATATTATTTTTTTTGAGACTGAGTCTTGCTTTGTTGCCTAGGCTAGAGTGAGTGCCGTGGCGTCAGCCTAGCTCACAGCAACTTCAAACTCCTGGGCTCAAGTGATCCTTCTGTCTCAGCCTCCCAAGTAGCTGGGACTACAGGCATGTGCCACAATGCCCGGCTAATTTTTCCTTATATATATTAGTTGGCC